AGGGCATATGCTGGATAATTTAAGTAAAAAACGCCCTCTGTTACACCGTTTCTTGAAAGTTGCTGCCTCTATTCGGCATTAACGCAATGTTCTATGCTGCACAAAAAAAATACTTCACGTATACTAGAAATATTCTGTTAAGCAAAATTTTTAAAGTTAATCTTTTTCCAAAGGGGTGTTTTCAGTTACTCACATCGTGAAAGGAGTTACAAACATATCAACAGTTCATGGCAGAATGAAAACTTTATGATAGTATAGGGTGACCCCGAGATTTCTTCATCAATTTTATTTAATTATGAGTCACTTTTAATTATTCATGGTTTAAAAAAATTATTTATAAGATCGCTTTCTTTGCCTTTTCAAAAAAATGCATTTTACTCCCGGGGAAACATCCATTTGGCAACTATTAGTAAACCGAATAAGGAATTCAAAGAAAAACAAAATTAAATCATTTGAATAATAGGCCCCACAATGTCAAAGGGCAACAGGAGAAGGGGACAGGAGACCCGGGGAAGGGTGGGGGTAAATTAAAAAAATAAACCGATGGTATAACGTTATAGACCTCTCCATCTGAATTCACCATAAAATAGACACTGGAAAATGTAGTGTCGTAGGGTATCCTGACTTGTTTTTATCTATTTGAATATTCTTCTCACTAGTGACGTGCAAAGTCTATGTCCCCAGCAGGCTTGACTACATGGAGGTAGATAGATACTAACTGCAGGCGTCCGACTCATTTGTATTGCCAATAATGGTCAAATTATTATAAAATAATCTCCTGTTGACCACCAAGAACAAAAAATTACTGTTAACTATATATGTAGATATATATGTAGATATCAAATATAGTACGTAAATGGTTGCTGGATAGTAATGCAAGACAAGTGAGCCGAACGCCTGTGGTACTAAGGACTAAAATATATATATATTTCTTTTTAAAGTATGCCTTAACATTACCTGAGTAGCTGCTAATGACATTGTTTAATGAATCACGTAATTTATGTACAGTACGTGTAATTTAGAAAAAGCCAACCTTTAATTAAACGTTATCATGCAAGAAGTAGTCGACCTAGTGGAGTATATACGTCCTCGTTTTATAGATGATTATGTCATCCGTTTCAAAAACCCTTTCACCAAAATGGCATTCCATTCGGACTGTCTATGTTTGATGAGGGTCAATCCATCCGTTAAGCTAGTACATAAAATAGCTTTCGCTATCGAGTACGGACCCGAACATATCACCATTCATGACTCTAAAGTTTTCATTTTCAAGCAAAAATTTGGTGAAATTTTCCTTCGTGCAATTTCTTGTTAGTAAAAGCTTAAAGTTGCTCACTGTAATAAGCACTCAAACGTACATTGACCTGAGACACATAATCATAAGGCGCAGCAAGCAAAGGGTCTGCACTACAGAATATCACTGTGTATTTGGGGCTCAGACACTCTAGTACCCTTCCTTTATCCCCCTGATTACTGTTGTATATCACTCCCAACTTCAGTTAGGACATCGGCAGTCAGTCCGCAGGAAACAAATTTCCGGTCTCTATTTCGTCGTCCCAAATTGTTTCGTGTTTGTTTGGTCTCAACTTATTAAGGTCACATGTCGCCGAAACATGAAAGATGATTTTGCCTTACTTCGGGTGTGACAAACTTCAGGTCAAAACCACCTCATCTACTGGAGCTAATGGGTACATACACTCCAGTTATACGAACCCATTTTATCGCCTCTTACGGCCACGCTGGGTTAAACGGTGGCTGCAATTCTATTACTATGCCTCAACCATTAAAGGTTACCCGTCAACCAGTTTCTGTGCGTGTGTGATTTTTTTGTGGAAGCAGGGGGTGTTGTTGGGCATGTATGTGCGCCTTAATTTGTGTGTGTTTTTCCGTACCGCTTATGTTCAAATTTAAAGCTACAATATATTAACTATATTTTCTTGTTATATTCTTCATTTTTTAAATCTTAACTTTTAGGCTATATATATACCAAATTGATGAAAGCATTTTAAGGTGGTTGCCATGTTTTTCTTGACGAAAGAAGTATGTTGTTTTCATTGAATTTCCAAGGATGTTATGTCCCACATTTCATTGAGATTTAGAGGGAAATTGAAGATATTATACCAGTCCCATTATTTTTATTTTTAACCAATCAGAAATAAGAAATAAGAAAGGTATGGTTTCTGAAAAGATGAAGGATTATGATCCAGAGAAGGAGCTAAGAGAGGCATTCGCTGTTTTCGATATAAATGGAGATGGTAAAGTGTACATTTATTGTTATCCTAGATATATGCCGTTAAAATAAAAAATGTTCTACAATAAATTAATTTTAAAAATATATTTCCTTGGTAGTTTATAATGCTTCAATGAAGCCCTCTTTCGCCTCTTACGGCCACGCTGGGTTAAACGGTGGCTGCAATTCTATTACTATGCCTCAACCATTAAAGGTTACCCGTCAACCAGTTTCTTTGCGTGTGTGATTTTTTTGTGGAAGCAGGGGGTGTTGTTGGGCATGTATGTGCGCCTTAATTTGTGTGTGTTTTTCCGTACCGCTTATGTTCAAATTTAAAGCTACAATATATTAACTATATTTTCTTGTTATATTCTTCATTTTTTAAATCTTAACTTTTAGGCTATATATATACCAAATTGATGAAAGCATTTTAAGGTGGTTGCCATGTTTTTCTTGCATCTCAGACAGGATTATCTACCGTTTACACCGGTGCTAGAAAACTCTGCCTTACACCCCCCATGTAAGACAAGTCGCGTGTTTTAAATGACGTCATTGACGCGAGCCTTTTATGAATGAATCGCGTTCTTAGGATGACATCACTTAACCGTTATGAATGAAATTGTCAGTTCATACGCTACTAAGAGTAAAAAGTGCGTTATGAGAATATCCGTTTTTGTAATTTCTGTTTGAAAATAATTGATATGTTATATGCAAGAAAAAGAATCAAACACCGGCTGTCGGTACAGACAGGAATATCTAGCTCTCAGGTGACTGTTTACGGCGGAAAATCGGCAGAGCCTCGTTACCGCCGTAAACAGTCACCCTCGAGCTAGATATTCCGGTCTGTACCGGCAGCCGGTGTAAGATTCTTATATTCTTGACGAAAGAAGTATGTTGTTTTCATTGAATTTCCAAGGATGTTATGTCCCACATTTCATTGAGATTTAGAGGGAAATTGAAGATATTATACCAGTCCCATTATTTTTATTTTTAACCAATCAGAAATAAGAAATTATGTCACGTGACTGAAAAGCGGCAATATCGAACAAAGCAAAACAACATCCGGTAAAAAAACTGAATTTTCGACAGTGCAACGACAATGAAAGCAACAGATCTAGAAACTTTTCAGTCGACATATGAACAGAGGTTTGTTATGTATAACTTGGTGTATAATTATTCAATGTATCAAAAGGATTGACAAAAGGATTATGTGAAAATATTGGAAAAGGTGTTTTGAGCCACAGACACTTGGGGTGTGGAGCTAAAACGCCTTTAAAATCCAAATAAAATGTATATTTGTCAATCCCACCACATGTACTGATCATATATATCAAAAAAACTTAATATAAGCCGTATTTAAACGTCTATAGTAGATCTTGATTCTCCAGAAAAAATCTGCACACTTGCCGTAAAAATCACCATATTATATATTTTATTCCATTTTCAATATTTTTACATAATCCTTCAGTCCCATCAGGTACGTATATTAACGGTATCCGCAACTCTATACAGTAAATCAATAACGGTAAATTATGCTGTTGTGGCAGATAATCCATCCAGACTGCCGATCGTTATTGATTTTTATCGACGATTACATATCATTAAGCGGTGTGATATTTGACCTTGGTTATCTAAATTACCGTCAACATGTTATTTTCTGTTCAATTTTTTAAAAGTAACATATTCTAGAAAGCTGAAAGATAGATTTTTTCAAATATATATTTTATAAATCAGTGCGTTTAGTATGAAGAAAATTACGACGAGTTAAACACAGAGTTTTTTTTTTTGTCTCCCGATTATGTCAAAACTTCAGTAAAAATAATGATGCCCTCTTCGAACAAGTATAAGATTTTTTCGTAATTTATGGTCTATTTATATTATCTGTAGAAACAGAACCCAGACGGACCAAAGAATGAGACAGAAACTCAAGAAGAAGCGGTAGAAATAAATGGGGACGAGGACGCAGAATCATCTGATGATAGTGATGATGATGATGACGAAAGATACACTCTAACAGCGGAACAGAGGAAAAACTTAAAGCTACAGAAGGATACGTACAGAGGTATTTCTTGTCCGTAAAATATTAGATTGCTTGCATAAATACATGTATTATAAACATTTAAAACCAGTGCATAATTATTTCTTTTTAATCGGGATATATTTATACAATATATTCTACAATTTAGAACTGAATATGTTAGTTTAAAATACAAAATAAAGTCTTTTAAACTTTGTACAAAAATTTAATATTTCAGCAATGCGTGATGTGTTTCGAACATTAGACGTGGATGGTAGTGGTTCACTAGAGATAACAGAACTTGAAACTGCAATGAAATCTATGGGTGTTGACTACTCAGAAAAAGATATGACTAATCTCATCAAACAGATGGATGCTGACGGTTTACTTTTTACTTTCTTTTCTCATTATCTCTCGCTTGTTTTACTGTATTTAATTCTGAAAATGAAACGCTGGAATATGTTCAAAGTGTTTATGAACAACGTAGTTCACTGGTAATTTGTTAACTCTGTGTTGTGTCGTTTTAGGCAATGGATCCGTTGACTTTTTCGAGTTTTGTGGTATGGTTTCTGAAAAGATGAAGGATTATGATCCAGAGAAGGAGCTAAGAGAGGCATTCGCTGTTTTCGATATAAATGGAGATGGTAAAGTGTACATTTATTGTTTTCCTAGATATATGCCGTTAAAATAAAAAATGTTCTACAATAAATTAATTTTAAAAATATATTTCCTTGGTAGTTTATTAATGCTTCAATGAAGCCCTCTTTCAATATCAGTGTTTGTGCTTCACTGATGTACTTTTTCAATTTATTGAAATTAATCGTAAAATAAGCTTACGTATAAAGATATGTTACTCTTTACTGCCAGGGTGTTTAACCTTTTGATTTGGAAAACATATATATTAAATTGAATAACAATTATTTATGTTAATATTTAAGGAAGAATCAGTAAGGAAGAAATCCAGTCTGTTGTTGAATCTCTTGGTGGAAAAATGTCACAGGAAGAGGTAGACAGTATGCTTAGAGAGGCTGATGATAACAGTGACGGCTACCTTGATTATGAAGGTACGTACCACTTTAAAATTTTTGTGGGTGTTGATAAGATTATAATACAATTAAATAATTAACTTGCGGGAATTGAGTTATTGATTTGTCAAGCTTTGTATGGGGGAACAATCTATTAAGATTTAAAAGTTTAAAAGGATTCCATTATCAAGTTACAAAACATGAGCTATCAAGTATAGAGCCTGGTCCGACTGCATGGATTTGCAGACTGGTTTGGCTCTATATATTTTATAAATGCTAATCACTTCAAAGGTTAAACCTTTGCTTATTTTCTTTTCTTCATAACATTGGCAAATGTCCAATTTCAGCAATGTTAGACTAACAAAAGAATACTATTTATTTCAATTAATCCTTCAACATTTTCAGCTTTTACGTGTTTGTCTGTCTTTAGAGATTCTGTTTTATTCTATTTTCTTAGATGATACATTCATGCATATGATAAAGTTTAGTACATATTAACATCTACCTTGGTATGTAGCTGGTGACAGTGTAGCTGAGAAATAAAAGAAATAACAAAAAGATTATAACATATAATTTACAGAGTTTGTAAAGATATGGATGGGTGAGACATCTGTGGATAAAAACGTGAACAGCGAATCAACGGATGGAAATGACAATACAGAATGTTCGGATACTGATAAATCAAAGCCAGAATTACTGACAGTTCCTTAACAACTGATTATAGTTGTTCTTTTTTGGTTTCTTTTCTCTTCGAATGATTTCAATAATTATGAGAAACTAATCTGTACTGTTCAATTAAGTTAACAATCGTTCAAGAAACATTTATATCTGGTCAGTTGTCCGGAAAATCGAAGTTGCGTATGTTTTTATTGTCTTTATATTGAACTTGAGCATTATTATAAGAATAATCATATCATCAAAGATATATTTTCCGAACATTTCTTCTGAGATCACTAATATTGAATACTTTAATGATTTGTAAGAACATAATACTGCCTTTTACAGTGTACATGTACTTGTTATAAATGAAGGTTATGTATAAGAATCATGAAATTGCATAAATTGTTTAAATATTTCTTTATGAGAATATATCTTTTCTTACACGGATTGGGTGGATTTTCAAATTTCAAATTTAAAAAATTATTCCACAGTTCCGTAACATGGATTATATTATGTATAACCATTGTTTAAATTATCTGAACATTAGATTGTATGTTAAATCGCAACTATGTTTGTACTAAGTAGTTCGAATAGATTTTTCTATGGACATGTTTCTTCAGATTTTATCATCATCATCATAGAATCAATAACACATCTAGTAATAATGTTTCATTTAGTGTTTGTTCGAAGTGTAAAATATATTGACATTTTGATACGAAAATATTGCCCTTTTAGAAAAAATATAACTTTTAATTTGACATTTGAATTTATGCCTAGTTTTCCTATTGTCATCGATTTCAATTATTTAATATGCTGTTTAATTGTTATGTGTCAAGAAAACACTTTAACAGCTTTGTCGATCTGTCGATATTCGCAGCAGCTATGGGCGATACTTCAAATACAATTTGTATATGTTCTTGGAGCCAAAACAAATATGTTAAAGGCAGTGTGGAAATAATTTATTTCAGGGAATAAACAGAAAAAGTACACGTTTCTAACTTATACTTTGTTTATTTCTCTGCACAATACAAAAAGATAATAATGTAAGTATTCTGGAGTTTTAATAATCCATGCTAAAATAATCCTAGTTAAAATCTATTTTGATAAATTAATAAAAGGTGATCATAATGTAAAATTCACAAAATTTAGGTCAGCAAAGCGCATTGTTCGCTTTTGATTATCATGACATTTCTATTTGACCGAAAACTACACAAAAAGACAATATTGTTTTCGATGTCACTGTTCAACTGTTTACTTAACCGTGCATGGTGTCTCAGAATAATTGCCTGATGTATTGCAATAACTCAAGTTGTTGGAAAACTAAAACGTAATTCAAGTTCCCTCCCTTTTCGCAGATTGAAATATATACGAGGTGGAGAACCGTCCATTTAGCTCAATTGGTAAAGAGTTGGACTGTGAACCGGGCAATCCGGATTCGATTCCCGGACTGGCCACTTTCGTTGTAATACGGTCGTTACCAGTGTTATATGCTCTGGCATGTAGAGAACGTATATCAGTTCCTTGCGAGAGTGAAGTCACAAGTACTAATAAACTACTTGACAGCCTGTCGGGAACGATATTGTTGTGAATTTAAAGTAACCTACTGCCGTGAACCGAGGGTAAAATACTAAAACCACCACCATAATCCGTAAGGTATACGTATGATGTTTACAATATCATGAGCGACATGCACGCGGCACTATAGCGGACAAGCAGCACATAGATGTAAACTTTCATCATCAGAATACTATGTTTTCTGTTTCGACTTGTGCCAATCGGAGCCATATCGGTTCATTGCAACAACAGACAATTAGATTCTGAATATTTTGCAAGTTCGAATACAGGAACATCAATTATAATCAGTCACAGTAATTTTAAACCGTAGTCTGTATTAACCAACATATGTTCAGCTGGTCGTTTAAGGGCATATGCTGATAATTAAGTAAAACGGCTCTGTACACCGTTTCTTGAAAAGTTGCTGCCTCTATTCGTGCATTAACGCAATGTTGCTATGCTGCACAAATAAAATACGCACGTATACTAGAAATATTCTGTTAAGCAAAATGTTAAAGTTAGATCTTTTTCCAAAAGGGGTGTTTTCAGTTTACTCACATGTGAAAGGAGTTACAACATATCAACAGTCATAGGCAGAATGAAAACTTTATGATAGTATAGGGTGACCCCGAGATTTCTTCATCAATTTTTATTAATTATGAGTCACTTTAATTATTCATGGTTTAAGAAAAATTATTTATAAGATCCTTCTTTGCCTTTTAAAAAATGCATTTTACTCCCGGAAACATCATTGGCAACTATTAGTAACCGATAAGGAATTCAAAGAAAACAAATAAATCATTGAATAATAGGCCCACAAAGTCAAAGGGCACAGGAGAAGGGGACAGGAGACCCGGGGAAGGGTGGGGGTAAATTAAAAAAATAAACCGATGGTATAACGTTATAGACCTCTCCATCTGAATTCACCATAAAATAGACACTGGAAAATGTTGTGTCGTAGGGTATCCTGACTTGTTTTTATCTATTTGAATATTCTTCTCACTAGTGACGTGCAAAGTCTATGTCCCCAGCAGGCTTGACTACATGGAGGGTAGATAGATACTAACTGCAGGCGTCCGACTCATTTGTATTGCCAATAATGGTCAAATTATTATAAAATAATCTCCTGTTGACCACCAAGAACAAAATTACTGTTAACTATATATGTAGATATATATGTAGATATCAAATATAGTACGTAAATGGTTGCTGGATAGTAATGCAAGACAAGTGAGCCGAACGCCTGTGGTACTAAGGACTAAAATATATATATTTCTTTTTAAAGTATGCCTTAACATTACCTGAGTAGCTGCTAATGACATTGTTTAATGAATCACGTAATTTATGTACAGTACGTGTAATTTAGAAAAAGCCAACCTTTAATTAAACGTTATCATGCAAGAAATGTCCTAGTAGTCGACCTAGTGGAGTATAACGTCCTCGTTTTATAGATGATTATTTCATTCGTTACAAAAACCCTTTCACCAAAATGGCATTCCATTCGGACTGTCTATGTTTGATGAGGGTCAATCCATCCGTTAAGCTAGTACATAAAATAGCTTTCGCTATCGAGTACGGACCCGAACATATCACCATTCATGACTCTAAAGTTTTCATTTTCAAGCAAAAATTTGTGAAAATTTCCCTTCGTGCAATTTCTTGTTAGTACATATACAGTTGAGTTCACACTAAACTTCCCACCCTTGTGCACTTCTAGTGCACTAGAGCTGAACTAGAAGTGCACACCGTGTGCACTTCTAGTGCACTAGACCATATGACCAGGCTGGCCAGGGAAGGTGACACCTTAATGGCATATTGGATAATTGCATATCAAGTGATAGGGGGCATCCATTGTTAAGCTGCTGTAAGAAAAAAAACTTTGGGAATATATGGCCTATTCATGAATATAAATAAGTAAATTTTAAAATCAGCAGTTTTAACATTTTAGGTGATATCATGTTAAAGCTTAAAATTATTTTTTTTATTGATTGTAATCATATTTTTCCTAACCAGTATTTAACTGTAGGTGTAAAATAACACCCCTTAAAATTAAATTTATAGAATTAATAAAGTTAAATTTAAATATGCTCCATAATGGATAATTAAATAAGTGTTTTTGATTTTTAATTTTTCAAGTGTACAAATGGGAAAATCAATGTGATTGTTTAATCATATTTTATTGCTTTTACATTTTATACAAAAACAGATACATTGTCACATGTAAACATACTACAAAACAGTAACGAATACATTTACAGTTAATACATGGATGTTATAGTTATTATAAAAAAGCAAAAGGGTCGGGCCACAAGTTTTGACAACATTAGAGAATTGGCCCTTCCCACATCGTCTAACTTGTAGTAAAAAGATGTGCATAAATTCAATTGTAATTGGAATTCCATAAATGTATATATCAGCAATCAATATGATATTATTTGAGAAAATAGAATTTGATTATAAAAATTGTTCAAAGACTAACAAAACTTGAATTAAAAAGTAATAAAGAAAATGAAAAGAGAAAGGAAGAAAGAAAGAAAGAAAGAAAGATTTATTGATTGAATAAATGAAAGAATAAGCACCATGTAGGAGATTGCTGCCCAGTTCCTGTCCTCAGCATTTATATATAAGTTATGGAAAACAATTTACAAGCGTAGTTGGAAAATTAGTCGTTTTCAAATCTCCTTGAATACTTGATGAATTTTTGAACCGTGAAGGAAAACATATTTATTGTCTTCATCACTAAGATGAGTGATACCGAAAAGCAATTTATGGGCACTAAGAGGGTGATAATCACGAGTATTGGTAAATAACGTTAGCCTTTGGTTTATATACAATGGACATTTGAAAAAGTAATGGTCTGCGTCTCAGAATAAAAAACCGCATTCACAATTTGAATTGTCACGTAAGTGATTGTAGTGCAAATCAGCATTTAAATTGCTACAACTTATTTCTTATACGTGTGTGGTGAATTTGTAAAAATCTGTCACCAGTAAGGAAATATATCGGAACTAGAGGCGGCGTAAAGATTTTTTTAATTTTGGTTTGAAAGATGAAAGTGTAGGAGACGATCGCGTTCAAGATCTAAACTGTTCCATAATTTAATGGAAGATGGTATCACTGATTTTGAGTAAATTTCTAGACGTCGGGTAACAGTTGCGTAGTTTTCGTTGTTTCTTAAATTATATGTACTAGTATTACGAACTATATCTGGAAAAATATCACTTAAATAAACAGGGAAGCTCGCCTTGGTTATGTTTATAAACTAGAATTAATTTTTGCATTTTCCTTCTGTCTGCAAGTGATACCCAACCGATTTCACGAAGAAGGTTGGCGATAGATACTGACCTCGTTAGACCAGTTACAATTCGAGCAGCATCGTATTGAATGCTTTCAAGTGAATTTTGTTCATACACAGTACAACTATCCCACACTATAGATGCATATTCATAATTGGTCTTAAATAGGCTATATATATTTGATTAAGTGTTTTCCTTTTTAATTTAAACTTTAGCATTCGCATTGAACCAAGAATTTTTAGAGGCAGAATTAGTTATATTCGAAATATGTTGATGCCATGTACCATCATCACTTAATGTAACACCTAAATGCTTGTTGAGAATGAACAAAATTAAGAAGATTATTTTGGAAGTAAATATCAGGGGTGTCGCGATTATTTTTGGAAAGTGAAAAATACATAACTTCAGTTTTTAGCAGCGTTAAATTGTATTAACCACTGATTTGCCCATGTTGATATAATTTCCAGGTCAGCGTTTATAGTACTTTCTATATAAGTTTTATCTTGCGAACTTATTGCTAATGAGCTATCGTCTGCAAACAACCTTGTGACACTTGTAAGAGCGTCAGCTATATCATTCACATAAATAAGGAATAAAAGAGGCCCTAAAACTGAGCCTTGAGGCACACCAGCTGTTAAAAAATTTCTCATTAGAGTATGTAGTACCTACAAAAACTTTTTGTTTTCTATTTCTAAATAATTTGAGAACAAATTTAATAAATTTCCGGTAAATCCGTATTGTTTCAGTTTGAAAATGAGACCCTTATGCCACACTCTATCAAAGGCTTTACTTATGTCACAAAAAACTAAACATGTAGCTTTTCCTTCATCGAAAGCTTTACATATTTGATTATATATGTCTATTAATTGGTACACGGTTGAGTGTCCTGGAAGGAAGCCTGCCTGATTTCTGTATATTAATTTATTTTCATGTAGAAAGTTGTAAGAATACTTAAAAATAATACGTTCCATAATTTTTCCTACACAGCTTATAAGAGATACAGGTCTGTAATTGGATGAAATAGATTTATCGCCTTTTTTAAATAATGGCATTACATTAGCAACTTTCCATAAGTTTGGATATGTGTTATTTTTGAATGGATCTATTAAAAAGTATAGTCAAAGGCTCACAAATAGTGT